AGTATTCATGGGTAGTGTGCAAAACAATCACCATATATCTGGGTAAATTATAACGACCTCACTGCGACCTCACTGGAATAATGGTTAGTACTGGAAATCATCCCCAAATGGCCTTAATTCAGGTTAGTGAAATATTATAATTTACCCAGATAAATTGCCAGAATGAATGATTAACTATAAATCACCATCACCATAACTCATGGCTGTTGGGAACGTACCCCAACATCACCAAATATTAGTGACAATGTCAGATTGATCTATGGCGACTGAGTTGGAAAAGTGAGACACATGGAACAAAAAAAGAGGTTGGTCGTTCGCAAGATTGGATGTAAAAGCTTTATATATATAATATACATATGTATAGATACATATTATATCTTGATATTGGATATGGATGACTATGGGTCTAACATGATCTAACCTCTACCGTACACCTGTTGGACTTGTGGCTCCCCAATCAAGATTTTTTTTCCCAACGGACGTGTCCAGATTTGATGCTGGTTGGTTAGTGCTTTCACATATCTTTAATAGGATGTTAATTATGGTTGAAATTATATCTATATGTTTAAGTCGGCTTGAAACCACCAATTATATCATATTATATCATAGATATTATATGTAATTAAATAGTTGTAAGCATATGTAATATGTATCCAAATACACACACACACATTGTACTTTAATACATACATTTAGAATAATATCTAGATGCCGTTTCAAGGCCATGCATTGCCACCCATGCCCCAAACAGGGCAGGCCTTTTGGACGGTGCTGGATGGAGACTCGAAGAAACTGCACCCAGATACCCCAAGAAGGCAGTTTTAGAACATCGTGAATGGCAGTAATTGATGATAAACCTTCTTTTTCAGACAAGTCATTTGAGGCACCCAAAAGGGAAACCTTGCTTTGGGATGAAACATCACTGAGAATGGCGCGGTTAGCCAATAAATTTGATATTTGTAGTGGAAATATCTTTGTATAAGTGTACTTGGGAGTCTCCTGTCCATGTACAACGTCACACCATAAGGTCACCCAAAAGGGTCTTCACCACGACTCCAAATGTCGGGCCGTCGCTCTTGAAAAAATCCTCGACCAACTTGGATATGTTGAGACTTCAGCAAAGAGTTCCAAACCAACATGATTCGAACTCCAAGTTGCGTTTTGAGGGTTTCTCAGGGCTCCTATATATACAGGTTTACACCTGCACCAGGGAAACAAACAATTACCTGGTGAGTAGCACCACAACCAGATGGTGGCTCTACGGATGGACCACTGAATGGATCCGGGTGATGGCTGACTGGATGCTTTAGGTGAATGGTGTGGCTCTTTAGGCATGGATTTCCTAACTTCCACTGCCATATTTTAGAGGGATATGATGGGATATGTACATATTACCCAACATAGGGCTTGCATAGGTTACACACTTCAAATTTCTGTAATGAAAGGTAACTACGATTACTGAAGTATTTGCTTAGTGGATTTCTTTTTACTTCAAGGATCATCCCATAGTTCATGGATGGTTGACCTTTATTTCATAAGTGATTTTGAAGCGCAAACAGCTGGAAGTCTCCGGAAATCTCAGCCTTCCAAACGCATGTTTTTCTCTGATTCAAGGTCCATCCATGGGCACCCCCGGTCAGACCAGCTGAGAGCTGACGAGCACGTTCGACCGGGTTCTCTTCGCCTGGCCTTATGCGGGGCAAAACACCAGGCGATTTTGCTATGGATATATATATATATATATACGTACGTATATATATATACATACGTATATATATATATATATATATTAGACATATATATATATATACATACATATATACATATGTATACATATGTAATCATATATATACATATATATACACATATTAATCATATGTATATATATATATGTATATGAAGATTTATGTTAGTAGTTTTCATGAATTTTCCATTATTAACTGTTAGTTTATTTACTGGAGGGTATTTTGGTCCCAATCTGTAAGAGATCACCCGAAGAATGGGGTGGGGAAGGGAATTTTCCTATGCGATTTAGCCATTGTTCGATTCCATGTTGAGGGAATGCAAAAATGCGAAAAACAAATCATCAACTCAAACCAGAGTTTTCGAGGTTTTGCCATGATTTTTCAGGGAGGTTTTTACGGAAAAGCGTGTGTTTAAGGGATGCTTTTGCCAGTAATTCATAGGGTTTCTCTCCTTAAGCCATGACCAACTTGCTGAGTCCACCATAATTTTTGACCCACTGCTCTGTAGAAACATCAACAAAGCAAAACAGGTGTCTGGAAGAATACATGTAACATGTATATATATATATAAATGGGCAGCACAGTATTTCATCATTTCATCATTTTGTGAAAGTATGTTGGTGATCGTAGATGTGTTTTGAAGCTGACTCAGGAAACATTGGCAACGCCTGAGAAGATTCAGGAGTTCTCAGAGGCCCTGGTGGGCTGAAGTTTATATAGGAAGGACCACCCCAAACGATACAGTAGGTGACATGACTGATGGTTTAAAAGCTAGGTTCACAAGGGGTTGGTAATATGGATATATCCATAGTATTCTATAGTTATGGCAAGACCCTATGGTTTGCCCGCAAGGTTAGAAAGGAGTTCAAATATTATCCTTCGACATGCTCAAAAACCTGCGCAGGGCCAGTGTTTTGCCCAGACGCCGAACCCTAAACCCTAAAACCCCAAACCCTAAAACCCTAAAACCCAAAACCCTAAAACCCTGAAAACTCTGAATCCGAAAGCAGAAAACACTGCGTATACGCAGTATTTTCAGCAATTTCTCTTCTCATGTTCGACGATAGGGAATCCTCAATATTGCAGTCCGGGCAAACCACGGGGTCTGTGCGTATAGTTAGACGGCTGAAACTCACCAACTTATCACTGAGGCCGCTGAGGCCTAATTCCTGTACTTCGCTAGGAGTTTTGGGTTGCTTTAGTCTACGACATGCCTCTTGATTTGCATATTCTTAGTGTTTAACATCGTCTCAAGGTGTGAGAAATTGTATGATGCTTCTCCAGTCTTCAATTTTACTCATGTTGCCCGAGTCATCGTTGCGTACATAATGTGATTCCAGCAAGTAACGTTGAACAGTGTTTAACAACACATTTGACAACGATGAGCACCCTCTTGCTAGAGATTGGTTCCCTTCTTGGAGTAACTCTCCCTTGAATTAGTGGCTGTCTGAGCCCCGAGGAAAGAGACGTGTACTGGGATGGTACCTTCAGGTAGTTGGCGAGCGAATTCGCCATAGCCCCATATATCCCAAGTCCCAAGTAGCTACCACACTTGCAAGTTATTTTACCCTACAGATTCAGTCCCTTGTTTCAGAATGATGAGGGCTTCCACTGTTCCAACCTCACCATCCGAAAAGAACATGCTTGGATTCGAGGGAATATCAAATGATACCAGTTCATCTCCAGGGATTTCCCACTGGGGGGTCTAACCAATGAATTATATGACTCAATCCTCCACAGCCCCAACAGCCGATATAAGTAGGTTACTGTAGAATCCAGTTGCAAACCATTTAAGTAGCCTCCAGCGGTGATCACTGTAGCAGTTGTGGACTTGCTGCCAGCAGTTCCTTGAGGAATATCCAGATGCAAGTCCTGCAGAGGTGGGAAGCTGAGTGCCATGTGGCCAGACCCTCAAGCAACCCGCCAGAATGGTATTGACGTTGTCACCCAGAAGTTTTGTACTTTCACCTGTACATACATTGATAGATTTATACACACACACACGCAAACATACACTTACGCACACGTCTATGAGTCTATATGTGTGTATATACATATATATTATATACATATTATATAAGTATGCACATGTTATATTATGTATTTACATACGTATAATATATACATGTAATGTATGTAGGTAATGTAATGTAATGTAAATGTAAAGGTAAAGTAAAGTAAATGTACATGTAAAGGGAAAGTAAAGTAATGTAATGTAATGTAATGTATGTATGGATGCATGCATGCAACATATATATATATATATACATACACACATACACATATATATATATACATATATATATATATACACATATATACATACAAACTTGCATATATACTTGTTGCTTTGAGAGTTTGAGTGTCTTTGTAGCTACCATTGGTATCCTTTGGATAGCTATCCAATAAATCTTGGCTAAGTTGGTGGTGAATGGTCCAATGGATGACAAGAGCTCAGGTTTAAAGCAACAAAACTTGGTACGTCACGAATCATGATGGTTCCCAGTCCAGAAGTGGCTCAAAACCCTGTTCAGGGAAGAAGAGGTCTTTCCGGGAGGAATTTTGCTAAGACTTCTCGTGTCCAGGTACTGAAAAAGAGCTACTAAGTGTGATTGTCGTCTCGAAAAACCATGCTGATTTTCAGCTCAAAGATTTGCAGATGAAAATCTCCGTGTTTGCTGTCCATCGTCCCATTTTGTTGCCAGGACCTCCAGGACCTCCAGGACTTCCAGGACCTCCAGGACGTGGCGGGAGACTACAGCAACCGGACCGCAACGGGTAACGGGTTTTGGTGAGGAATTTTCTTGGCGGCTTTATGTAACACCCTAGAAATGGGTGATTTTAAATGGCCAATAGATACAGTATCAATAGATATCTATATATATATATATTCTGGTGATTTTAGTATTACCAATTCGTACGATTCCCTAGATTTATCCTGGTGATTTTTAGTATATTATTTCCCGTAGATGATGATTCCTGGTATTTTGACAAATTAGGAAAATTATCTATAGATGGTGAACGTTGAATGGAAAATTCAGCTCTTTGCATGGCAATTTTTGCTTTAAGCATCAGGGAATGTAAACTGACAAATGGTGGTTGGTTGATATAATGTCAATATCAATTATCAAATATCAAATGTACATTTGCTGATGGTTGGTAAACCCCAAGAAATATATCTAATGTACAGGGAGGTTGTTCCCCAAATTCGTGGGGATCATCAATACAGATTTCTCCGAGGCTACAGATCGCCTGATGGTTTGGAAAGCAGACTTCGGTTGCAACCAGGCGCTGATTTCGGTTGAGTACCCCTAAAATCATGCCATATCATGCCATCTAATCAATCTAATCCCCCTAAAAGTACACATAGTTAGACCAGTTTTGTAGATATTGATCCCGCTTCAAGTGTTTCACTTTTTGACCGGCGATCAAGAAAGCACCAAGCAGTGAAACTGCAGCCAATCAATGGATGTTAAATCTGATAAAGTACCATATTTATGGGGCAAATATATACACCTCCGGTAGTGGGTACATTAAAGCTCTAGGTTTAGCCGTACATATATGTATAACATATTAATATATAAGATATAGATATATTTGCTTATTATATCAATGGCAATTTACATTTAAAGTCTCATACTCTTTCACAGCATATGTGTCGACCCATCGTTATTTCACAGGTGGAACCTGGTGGCATTCAACCTACCGTTCGAGCCACGAGCGCATTCGTGCGAATCCTAGGTGACGGTGGTTGGATGGTGCTCTGCGGATAGTTCATGGGAATAAAACTAACGGACATAGATATGATATAGATATGATATATATATATAATTATATATATATATATACATATATATATATATATATTTACCTAAAGAAATAGATAGAGAGATACCAACCAACACTATGATACTTGGGTGTGTCTGAACATGTTGTAATTCCAAAATGGCAATTTTGATAAGGAAAATGAAGATACACCAGTATATTTACATAGATTTACGGGTATCGGTTTTGTCCGATTTTCAACACACCCGTCTATAAACGGATTGTGTCTTAGGAAGATTTTACTTCATGGGTTCCTCAACATGGTACCCCAATATATGGCCATTAAGATGATGGGAACATTTTCATGATAAACCATGGGATTTGGGGTGCCAATTTTGGGGAAAACCCCAGCTGGTAACAACCAGAATTGGAGGTGAACCAACAGACATAGTGACTCTATTGATGTAACTGATAGAGCCCGATGATTCGTTGCCGGGCATGGCCATCTGCCAGTGGAAAATCCCGAAAGTTGTCCGTTGTGCAGGCACCCACCTGGGATGACAAATCGACAATCCTATCATATATATATATAATTCATATTCGTGTCTCATTCTGTCCCTTTTCTAAGTTACGGTTACAGTATGTTACAGTATATAGTTATTGCTTCATCAATAGAGGGGTATTAGTGAACAACGCAAAGCTATTCCATTGTTGCCACAAGGGGAAAAAAATGCACATCGCTTGCATGGGCGCAATGGACCAAATTGCAAAGCCTTGAGGTTTGAATGCGGCGAGCGCAAAGTGGGGAGCCCCCAGCCATATCGTCAATGCAATCAGGTGATTTCAGCGCATCATTGATAGATAAAAATCTATTGATCATAGCACCATTCTTTTTCGCATAAACATGCTTAAACAGGTGATACGGATAACTCCGAAGGTTCCATAGGATAGCCACTTTTCTTGTTCCCCCATTACTCATAACTTTCTCAGAGAGCTTGTGTTTCACATCAGGTCGCAGAAGTATCGTAGTTTTGTGAAGGCCTACAAGGATTCAGCGTGCGAAGCCCTATGCCGCGGTGTGGATAGAACAGCAGGGACAAAGTCAAGCTACAAGGAGATGGATCTGGGGAATACACTCATTTTTAATGGCCTTTTCATCAGGGAAAAAGACCTCATCATAAACTATATGTCACCATGATCCATCGAAGTTGGGAGATTCATGGCATTATCATGATTTATCATGGTGATATATGGTGATCTATGGCTATGGTACCATCATTTTAATATATTTTAATGGCCATTGAATAGAGACAATGGCCACCTAAATTTTCAGATAACCCCCAGATGATCATCCACGTATTTGCCCGATGGGCTCTGCTCCCGTGATGAGCGGCCCACAATCCCAACTTCAGCAAACCACGAGAAAGACCTGGGTAGAAACCTACCTAATCCATGGAGATAAGTTTGGATATATTATTTGGCAGAAACACATGCTGGTTAATAATATATGGTTAATAATATCTGAAATATATGGTTAATATCTGAAATATATGGTTCATCTGGTTCATAACCATTATATAAAAAAAATGCTGGGTTTTGAAATAGATATTCGACTTTTTGCTGGACAATCATCCCATGAGACGACCTGGCATCTCCGTTTGTACAGAAAGCACGCCGACTTGGCTTGTTGGTTGAAGCCGAGTTTGGTTGGTTAATTAGTCCCTTGTTTTGATCACAATTCATAATCACAATATGAATCTATATCCAACATATGTTGTCGGTTTGTCTTATCATTGTCTGTATTAAATCCCCAGGAATTGGTCCAAAAACTGTCACATTTGCTGCTGAAATGGCACATGTCGGGTTGGTTAATTTGTTCAGTTATCATCATTTATCTATTTTTTCCATGGCCGATTTGAGTTCCTGAAAGGGAACATGCATCCCTGTTGATATTTCCACTATGAGAATGGTGGCACTAAGGCCCCTATAAACTCGTTGTGCAGGAGCAATTTTATCAGAAATTTGCGTTGGTGGCCCCACCATTTTGTAACAAATGCATTTGAAGACCCTTTTTGGGGTACCACTTTGAAAAACAGACATTTCGACCATCTTGTCAGGGTTTATATGGACATATCATGATATGGGATTCTTCAATGCACCATTTTATACGGAATCAAGAAGACGTATAGGGTATCGGTATCACCATTTGAATATCCCAATTTTCAACGCTAACATCCCGATGTTCCTCGTTTGTTCGCTGGTACAATCATGTTAAATCCCCATGTTCTTTAAGGAACCAATCCTTTAAGGTTAGATCACCAGTTTGACTGGTTAAACTCGTCACCCATCTCCCCTGAGGTTTGAGGAGATTCCTCCGGCTCGCGACTTGGAGACTTTGGCTGGCGACTTCCAGGAAGTTCAGGTGCGATGCAGTTGGGATTGCCACGGACAAAAGATGGGTAGATTGGGTAGCAGTGCAACCACGAAAGATGGTGTGTAATACATAGTACAGTAATACATATTATATATATACACAATATTACACAATAATCTATAGCTATATAATGCTATATAAATATACACATATTATCATATGATATTGATAATCGAATATATATATATACATAAATATTATACACATATATATATATACTGTATATACATTGTACATACACACACACATATATATATATAGTTTGTAAAGTAATGCTGGTAATAATGATATGACATGATATAATGATATATCATATTGGTAATCTTATGAACAACATATACTGCATGTATATTGATAGTGATTGCGTTTATCTCTATATGTATTCGTTGACTTCCACTCAATGATTCACCGACATTTCTTTATGTGTTTGATTTGCTTATTGCTTATTGACCCTCAACTTGCCCGACAAAAAGTGATTATCCCACAAATTACTGTCAATTTAAAAGGGAGTACTTTGAATGCAAATACCATGTTTGATTGAGCGCATGTTGGTGGATTTGTTTGGCTCTCAGCATATGTATAAGTTACCGGGTGGATGCCTGGTGGCTTTGCACCGTTAAAGGTGCTGGGTCAATACGTATGCATGATGTCGCAATGTTTGAATGAACATCCAGCCATATATATATATATACATACATATATTCCCGACAATTGACGCCACCAACCAGAAAATCAACTGAAATCTCTCCGCAAAACGGCTAAAACTGGCCATGTTCTTTGCAGTTTCCAGCTCTGGATGAAACTGTGGTGGACATTGAAGTCCGTTTCGGGAGCACAGATTTTGGCTGTGCACTGTACGTTACATATTTCAGTAGGCGACCATCCTATGTTTGGCGAAGTCAAAACTGAACTCCTAAAAGGTGGTTGGGTGAGCAGGGATGTTACAAACAACAAACACGCCGAACAAGGAAAACAATCTAAAATGATCTATCAATAGAACAACATACGTAGTGGACTTTCCACTACTAGAAAAGAAGCATATTGAATCAGTATCACTTTCTCAAGTATTTCATGGAACACCTTGGAATGATCATGAATGATCTATCTTTTCAATGGGAAAACTATGGAAAACTGGGCCCTCGACCCTTAAAATCCCCCAGAAAACGGCGCAGGTCTGGGAACTGGCTGAAGCTTTGGGCACCTGGCAGCTGGACCAACATGGCGCCATCCTGACCTGCCAGTGGGATGCCCCAGTCTGCCAGTGGGCCCAGGGATTTTCCAAAAATCCTATGGGGATGGGTCAAAAATGGTCAACCCTCTGGTTATGTCAAAATAGCTATTGAAAATGACCATAGAAATAGTGGAATTTTCCCATTGAAAATGGTGATTTTCCATAGTTATGTAAACGTTTACCAGAGGGTACCAATACTGGAGGAATAAACATACAGCTATACCAGTACTATGACTTCTGGTACCGGGTGTCAATGTGTCAAGGTTTTGACGAAAATAGCCATATCTTTCTTCAACATTGCAGGTTATCGTCAGGTTTATGTGATAGACATTTTGTAATCTGGCTGAAACTATATGAAGGCTTTCTGGACGGGTAGATGCCCGGAAAATCTTTCCGGGGGATGAACATCCTAGGCTTGTCAAAAATGGGACTGGGCCGGGTAGCATCCATTGGATGATGCGGGTCCTTGGGATATCCCAAAATGCTTCCAACGTGAACCCGGACGGTGGAATTTATACTCCATTGCACAACATTTGAGGTTCAATCTGGTTCAATCTGAATGAACTGGCATGATATCCCAAAATATCGTTCCCTGTTTATCTCAAAACATGTGTGCCATGGTCAAAACATGGTTGAACATATCATAAAGGGGAATGGTCATCAATCCATTAGTGAACATCTCATTGTAGGGGATCCCGAATGATTGCAGTATGACCATAACCCAGATATCTTGTTGTTGGTTATATACCCATTATGTTCCCTATATATATATTATATACATTCCCATTCCATTACACTATCCCGTTATATATATATATATAGTATTATATTGTATATTTGTATCTAATATACATCTATAATATTCCATATATATATACATATATATATATATTCCATATTTATATATATATATATGATATTGATTCCCGTTTTTCTCCCATATTATCCACGGGGAAAATGGACCAAGGCATTGGTCTTGGAAGTGTTCGCACCCTGGGGCGCCGATGGTGTTAGAGCCCAGCCTGGAAAACAGGCGCAGCTTGGGAAAGCCTGGAAATTTGGGGAGGTTTTAATGGGAAAACCATAGGAAAACCATAGGAAAACCATAGGAAAACCATAGGAAAATGGTGGTTTAATGGGATTTAATGGGATTGAATGAGATTTACCCTCTGGTAAACTTACAAAAAACTATGGAAAGATCCACAATTTTCAATAGGTAAATCAACTATTTCGACTGGGCAATTTTCAATAGCTATGTTAGTTTACCAGAGGGTAGTTCACTGAAGAATTTTTGTTGCTGTGTTTGGCGGCTTTCTGAATGATTTGTTTCACTAATTTGGGGCAACAAGTCACCCTAAGTCCTAATGACCTTAAGTTTCTTCTACTCTGAAGTTCTCTAACCTGTAACTTTCCACGTGTCCCTCACTTTAATCAACCTCCCTTCTTGGTTTTTGTCAAAGTTGCTGCCCGCTGCACCGCCCAATCATGATCCAGGTGTTTAGTGGCATCCTTTCTCCGTTTAAACAAAACAGCATATACTGTTACCATCTGTTACCAACCATGCATGCATCCAGGCATACAGATGATATCCATAAGCAGGTTGGCAAACACATCTTACCCAGCTCTTTCCCATTTACCAACCACCAAGTCCATCCAATTTCTGACGATTTTCCTGGTGCATTTCCCCGGTTGTGGAGGCAGCAGTTGAATCAGCTGCTGGATTCGGAAGAGCTTCAACTGTGCTACGTGGCCACGGCGGAAAGGTGACCGACCGGGGGGTGCAGATGTGCAGATCGGATGGCTAGTCCTCGTAAAGGTACGGTTGTTTGACCATCTAACATGGCTAATTCACCAGCAAAAAATAGGATATCATGGGTCTATGACCAATATTGCTAGTTTTGCTAGTTGGTGGTTTCAAATTTGTTTTGCCACCATATGTGGGATGATGGTCCGCAATGACAAAATGTATGTTTCAGGGGTGAACCACGATGATCCCTAATCAGAATACTATTGGAGATACTGTGAATAGCCATGATTGGTATAAATGGCGGATGTCACCAACAAACATGATTGGGGAATACAATTGATGGATACAATCAACGGAGAATATACGTAGATGGAGGGTATCCAAAACATGTTACTTGAACTGGAACTTGAACTGGGAAATGATGAGACTGTAAATCATGGGATAGTGGGGTACCTTATTTTCAGTCAAGTTCCTATGTAGAATCTGTTTTAAGAATGCTAAAACCATGCAAGAGCTTTTTGTTGAGCCCCGACTTTCAGAAACACCTTTTTCTGGAGCAGTGCTCAGTATGGCTCAGTTGTCATCCTTGCAAAAACGAACACATGACATCAGAGGATTCAGCCATTGGCAGGTCGATGGAATTGCAAACCAAGGGGCATCCCAGTGGAGTCCTCGGGCGGGTTGGATTTCTATGGATTTCCTACTTTTTTTGTGATGGGGATTGGAGATTTCGACCACCTAAGTTGAGGATTTTTGCCATTGAGATTTATCCTTTTTCTTGAAAGTTATGGGATTTAATGGTGGTTCCATGATGTTCGATAGAGATTTATGAGTGATTTAAGCGACAGAATATTAATTGGGGAGTGAACACCCTTCTAGGATGGGATTTGATTCGAAGGGTGTGTGACCTTTACATTGTCTACGTGGCCAATTTTTGGGAGGTGATAGAAAATGTGTGCGGCACCCGCAAAAGGTGATGTTTATAGTTGGGTAAGATTCTGTTTGCCCTTGGTCATAGACTGATATTTTTTGGGGCATTACAGCTGCAGTTGTTCAATTTGAGAGGTGATTTCCCGGGCTTTTAACACTCCCCTGAACTTCACTGTCCACTATTGATACTCTGAGTCTCTGAGTGTCATTGGATTGGTTCAAGAGAAAATCTACAGGCACCGATTTCATTGAACAGTCCATGATGCCATGGTTTCCTGTAGATTTTCCCTGAAACCAATCCAATGATAGTGGGTCGGGGGAGACTGCACCCCAACTTCCGCGAGACCTTTCCGGCTGAGGTTGGGACTTGCAGCAACAGCACCAAAGACTGAGGAGCTTGCAGGCAGTGGCACAGCAGCTGTTAACTGGTTCCAAAAATATCATGTTTGATCATCATGCTTCTAATTATTCACTGGCCATAAATCGGTGGCAAATCCGATTTTTGGATAGACCCAATAATTATCTGTTCTTCGTTGGTTCAATTCCTATATTTTTCATGGTGTGCGTCTTTTTTGATGGTGACATGTTTGGTAAGACAGCCAAAATGCCTTGCAAAATAGTTAACATCTGGTAATTTAACATCTGGATACATCTGGTAATTTAACATAGCTGTGTAAGCCATGGCCCATTGATAGAGGGTTTACATTTACCTATTAAACATATTTAAACATGGTGGTTTTCGATAGCTCACTGTTGAATTTCCAGAGGGTACCACTCTTCCATGACTTTTCCCATGGTTTTCCCATGGTTTTCCCATGGTTTTCCCATGGTTTTCCCGTGGTTTTCCCATGGTTTTCCCGTGGTTTTCCCATGGTTTTTGGTGGTTTAGCTACGAAAAATGGCGATCTGAAACAGGCTGCGTTCCAGACACTGGGCTTCGCCAGGCTGCTGGGGGGTTTCAAAGTGTGGGCTGTGGGGTTGGCTGGTGATGTGTGTACTTATCAATAATATATATATATATGACATATATGTGATATATATATATATATTATATGATATATATATATATATATCATATATATATATAGATATCATATATTTATATAAATGATATGATAATATAATACCATATATTATTATATATGTACTATTAAGTTTTGTATATATAGAGTACACGACACCAAAGACGTCATAATATATCATACAAATGTAATACGTGTGTCAGCAAGTGGATAGTGGTTTCGATCATTTTTGTTGTGTTTCTCTTTGGGATGGGTTGGAACCAGCAGCCAGTAATCTATGTCTATATTGAGGTAATCTTTGATGGGGCAGGAACCATCAGGAACCTATCAAAACCTACAATAGATGGTTTCTCATAAAATTGGAGGTAACACACCCCAAGGCAAAGAAATTAGGAAACTGCATGGCCAATTTTGAAGTAGCAGAAGGAACTAGAATTGGTTGACGGGCTGACGGGCAATTTTACAGGAAACCTGTGTACTTGGATTGCGATCACCATGGTTTCCTTCAAATTGCGATGCATTCGCTCTTCCACCTTTCTTGAACATCAACAGATTCGCTCAGGCCTTGACTACTGGGATTACCTACGGTTTTCCCAGTGAACCAGGTATACCTCCATGATATTCCTATTTTCCCATGATCCAAAGGGAAGTTGCTGCCTTGGCGACCTGGGATGATGATCCCCCAAGACGCACCCTACAGTCCCCAAACGATAGGTTTCGGGTGGTTAGCTGAACTTTGGTGGATATAATAATGTGGATATATCATGATATATCTACAGTTAGAATCAATTGGGTTTATAACTTAGGGGGGCCCTTCCTGTGGAACCACCACACAGTGGATCGAGGTCTTATACTCCTGGGTGGCCAGCCGAGCAAAGCGGATCTGGTGTGGAAGCCCGAAAGCCCATAGGAACTGGGGTGCAGAAACAATTGCATGTACTGATCTACAGAAACATGGCAGTAGATTGCACATTGGTTTAAGGCAACACCCAAAGGAACCCTCTGTATTTCATGATAAAGACCATGCAATGGAACGGAGTAATGCGTATCTTACTCCGTATTTACCCATAGACAACGGGTATCTAACCCCATCACCTCGGTTCCTCTATCATTTGTTGGGTACCTCGTACATAGAAGTTGGGTAAACGCAAGTTGCAGAGTGGGTTTTTGTCGATTATTCTTTTGAGCCATTCGATGGAGGACTCTTATTCAAAACTAATTTGTGAGGTCTGAGATGTCCAAGATAAGGTGTATCCCAATGTTTGGAAGGAATCCTGGTGTTACAACTACCCCTGTTACAACTACATACTACCAATCTTCGTATGGGTTGCTGATGTTCGTAAGTAGCTGCGGAGCCCGACAGTGTGACACAGGCAGTTCATGGTGATTACAATCGATCCTTAAGAAATGATTCCGCAGTATGATGTGGGTTGCTAGAATATTATTTTTGGATATTTTTGGACTTGTTTGGATCATTTTTTCACCAGAATATATTGTATCTATATGTAATGTATCTATCATATACTAGTATAGTTATATATACTGTACTTCAATAATCATCCCACCAAATGAAATACCATGGATTATCCTTTGAAGACACATTCCAAAGGGATAGAGTGAAGCCACCTCAGAAGCGACTTCAAACAGATCATGCAACATCTTCAAATGGCAATTTTCCCCAAGGAAATTATAGGAAAATGGAGAAGAGGAACACACGATTGTACCACTACAAGTACTACATACCGGTAGGTTGTTGCAAGTACTTCACATTGTCCATCCCTATTCGTAGACTGCATTGGATCCCAAGCAAGGGTCCCAATGATGAGGGGACTGGTGTTTTTTGCGACGGTAACCGGTGTATTTCCAGACGGTTATGTTGATCGGTGTTTTTTTGACCGGTAGCCGGTGTTTTTTGCGACGGTGGCCCCACAATGGTGTTTTTTGCGCCAGTGGTCGGTGTTTTTTGCGACAGTGGCCGGTGAGAGGAGGAGGAGGAGTCGAGGCGGCCGGTGCGCACACGAGGGACGAGTGTGCGCGACGGGCGACGACGACGACGACGACGCCGCCGCCGCCAGCGGCGGCGGCTGCTGCTGCTGCTGCTTCAGGGTAGTTGTGGTGTTGGTGGTGCTCTGCTGTGCAATGAGCTCGCAAGGTGAGAGCGGCTTTAACAAAAAAGTACGGCGGGTGGGGGGCGTAACTGTGCGACTCTTGTTTTTGGTTTTTTCTTCTGTTGCAATGTAAAACTCTTGTTGTTGTTCTTCTTGTTCTTCTTCTTCTTGTTGTTGTTGTTGTTGTTGTTGTTGTTGTTGTTGTTCTTGTTCTTGTTCTTGTTCTCGTTGTTGTCATGCAAACCGGCGGGTGGGCGGGGCGGGGGGCTGATGTTACAATTGAGAGCGGCTTTAACAAAAATACGGCGGGTGGTGGGGGGCGCGGGGGGGAGGGCGCAGCGCCTCCCCCCGCAGAGCGGAACTGTGCGACTCTTGTTTTTGGTTTTTCTTCTGTTGCAATGTAAAACTCTTGTTGTTGTTCTTCTTGTTCTTCTTCTTCTTCTGCTTCTTCGTTGCAGCCACAAACCAAGTACTGACCCCCAGATCAAAAGGAAAGTCAATTGCACGGAATACTAAAGTAGTATTCGCGACCACCAGATTTTCCGGGTCGTGGTTTTTCATCGAGTGCGAAGGTCACTTTTGTGATCTTTTGTGCACATCAAGCCTTTTTGGCAGAGTAGATCGCACAATGCGCAATGCCACCATTGCACTCCGGGCCAAGCCATATCACGATAGTATAGCCAGTAGATGGACATGGATAGTAGTAGTACTACTAGTAGTAGTACTAGTAGCAGTAGTAGTAGTAGTAGTAGTAGTAGTAGGAGTAGTAGTAGTAGTAGTAGCAGTAGTAGTAGTAGTCGTAGTCGTAGTCGTAGTAGTAGCAGTAGTAGTAGTAGTAGCAGTAGCAGTAGCAATAGTAGTAGTAGTAGTAGTAGTAGCAGTAGTAGTCGTAGTCGTAGTCGTAGTCGTAGTCGTAGTAGTAGCAGTAGTAGTAGTAGTGGTAGTATTAGTCGTAGTAGTAGTAGTAGTAGTAGCAGCAGTAGTAGTAGTGGTAGTAGTAGTCGTAGTAGTAGTAGTAGCAGTAGTAGCAGTAGTATAGTAGTAGTAGTAGTAGTAGTAGTAGTAGTAGTAGTAGTAGTAGTAGTAGTAGTAGTAGTAGTAGTAGTAGTAGTAGTAGTAGTAGTAGTTGTAGTTGTAGTTGTAGTAGTAGTAGTAGTAGTAGTAGCAGTAGTAGTAGTAGTAGCAATAGTAGTAGTAGTAGTAGTAGTAGTAGTAGTAGTAGTAGCAGTAGCAGTAGTAGTCGTAGTCGTAGTCGTAGTCGTAGTCGTAGTAGTAGCAGTAGTAGTAGTAGCAGTAGTAGTAGCAATAGTAGTAGTAGTAGTAGTAGTAGTAGCAGTAGTAGTAGTAGTAGTATTCGCATCAAGGCCGCCCTCCAACTGTCGCAAAATACCCCGGTTACCGTCGCAGAAAACACCGCAGAAAACACAACCGTCGCAAAAAACACCGGTTGCCAGTGAAATAAACACCCGGGGCCGTCGCAAAAAACACCGAGGAACCGACGCAGAAAACACCGGCTCGCAACCGACGCAAAAAACACCAAACCTGGCCACCGTAGCAAAAAACACCGGTTACCGTCGCAAAAAACACGAAGCCCCCCAATGAGCCCTAAAACCAGTATGCAGAAATGGCAGACATGCGCAAGATATGGGCAATCTCAAGTGTCCGTTTTCATGTTGAATATTGCGTTTTGCAGGTTGGATTAGATTCCAATTTTATTGCCCAAAGCCAATCATTTGTGCTGGTCCAATATCCTTTTAGGGGGATACCAATAGATTCTTTGTAGAGTTCTAAGGGAGTTCCAACCTTTCAGGCAAATACCTTGCACATTTCCCATTCGCTGCACCGCGGCCGGGTACAGACAAGTTGACGGCCCTGAAGGGGCTTTGTCAAAGGACGGCAGCAGTGAGAAATTGTGTTCCAGAAATATGCAACTTAGTCACTCAGAAGTCTACAACACTTACTTCAGTACTTGTAGAGATCTATGTCCACAATGTAGCAGCGCCAGAAAGTCCCTTTATCACGCTTAAGATATCTTAAGATCCTCCTGTGCCGAGATGGAGAGGTCCCCTGGCAGCATGACATGGCACTGGGAATAATGGGGGTAATCCAAGAAATCAATGGGAATCAGTCAACAATAATGACTGATCAAGGGATATAAGCGGTATATGTCAACTAATTCATGGTCCTGCTGCGGGGGGTTTAATGTTTTTTATTTACCACCTACCCTCCGGATGATGCCCGGTTTCAACCACCAGGCAGGCGAAATAACAAAATCCTCCAATCCTCCATGGAGGTTTATAGCTGGGAACATCAGGCTAAGCATCACACCAATAACACCAATTTATTTGGGGATGGAGTAAACCCTAATAAGGTACGAGTCACTTTATTTTGGAGGATGAAGCTGTATAAATTCTCGATATCCTGATGGTCACGTACCGGGTACCACGGTTTTGATCCATTGCCATAGCCATAGCCGTTATTATGGGTATCAGTCCTGACAGAAAAAGCAGTTACAACGCCTGTGCCCTCAAAAAACGTATGGTTTTTACAGTATGGGTTTTTATTGATTCATCCTATATGTTTTTATTGGTTGATCATATCTTCCTTAATGGAAATGGTATGAACTGGTCATTTTCGCAGCCCATCTCCGCGTAGGTCAGAAGACACTTCTATCAAGGACAAGGCGAAATTGGCCCTCAACGCCATCCTGCAGAATATCCAGGCGCCTGGAGCGGTGAAAGTCATGCCTAGTCTTGAGGTGAAAGACCTCCAAATATATAACTTATATATTTCTATGTCATTATGTTTTTTGGTAATTAGTTGTTTTCTAATGAATTTTGATGGGAAGCACTTGGTTGGTCCTTTCAGTTTTTGTTTCATCACCATGAAAAAACAGCTTTTGATGTCAATCCGCTGGACATTTGCCTCACCACCAACTGACAAGTCAATACCTTTGGGACTGTTTTTGCGGGTGAACATCCAGCTATGCCAGCTATTTTGATGTCAAAACCAGGCGTTCGCCAGGGTGTTGACTCATAGTCATATACCCAAGGAATACTTGACATTTGTTGAAAAGGTGGAAGCATCTACTACATGAAGAGTTGTCCTGTCAGTTGGGAATCTATTAGGGTTCCCAGAAAGAATGGTTGGTCAACAGGATACAGGGTTCAATGATAAGTGATAAGTATTTGGTGTTTGATGATGGGTTTTTATTTTTTTAATCTTAACTCATACGAAAATCATATCGTTGTTAGCTTCTACTAAATCCCAATCCAAATCTTCCCAAGTCTGTGTTGGTTATATTTTCCACACTGCTGCTTACAACTGCATCCTGCTTGCTCACTGTTGGTGATGCCCCTTTTTCGTTGTATCACCCAAAATCAAATTTTCTTCACAGCCATCGTTTCGCGTACCCGGCGAGGTCTTGAAAATGAGCTTCGCAAGGAAGGTCGGACCTGGAACGGCCGCGCCCATCATGGTCTCTGGTCGGACCTGTTTTAGATATTCATATAAGTTGTCAATGGTTGACAGCATCTATGTCTATCTATGTCTATATATAGAATATGTTTATATCTATATAGATGTGTATACATGTATATTTATGTATATGTATATAATATATATATAGGTACAAATACACATTGAGACATAATTACAGGGCAGTCTTTAGCCTACCTGCATGTGGTCATAGCCAGAGGTTTAGCCAAGAATATGGGACTTGGGGTAGCCAACAGAAGCGGGGTTACCAACAAGAACATACAATCAGCTCTCTCATTCTTTCTAGAATATGTATATGTATATGTGTATATATATATATATACACATGTATCGTAGGGAATGGTCATTGTTCATGGCAAATCATGGCAAGTCTTGTTCTTGATGTGAATACAAACTCCTTTAAGACGTATCTCAGGTGGTTGATTGACAATCGATCCACACGGTATGCAATGGAAACGGCCCAATGTTGAATCGGAAGATCATCGAAGGGATCGATCAACCAACTGATTGCGGTTGTGTCTCAAGTTTTGACTAGCCGTCTAGGCTTCCAAAAATGCTTGTATTCTTGTGCCACCGTTTGGCCATATGGTTCATTGAACTACATACCATCTTTCATGATTTGGTTGTGGGTCAAGTCATTAGAGTACCAATGCATCCACAATCCATTCTTGCAGTGTACGGTAGTTTGACGTAATTCCAATTTATATGCATCTTACCGTAACCATCATTTCCCCATTCAAATGGCAATTGTTGTGGTATCCTCCGTGTTTGTACAAGCTCATATCATATTGTTGGTTATATAAGTTATATATATATATACACATATCATCATGACTTCCTCTCTACATATAGTATGTATATCCCATTACATCTCCATTACATCTCCACTACATCCCCACTACATACCTATCAGAACCCCATTGTCCCATCATCATATCTCCATACTGTTATCATTCAGTTTTATGCTGTTATTATAGTAAACGATATATATATATAGACACACATATACATGTATAGATGTAGGCATACATGGGTGTCTCTGAAAATATGATACCCCTAACTTTGATGCAAAATGCTGTCATTTTCTCTGAAGTGAGTGGCCACCATTTGCCGGTATGATGTATAGATATTTGTATATATATATATATTTATTTATTTATATCCTATTGTAGCACCACTAATAGCCCATGAATCCCCTGTTGTTGATGGTGATTGTTCATGCTTTATGCTTATGTCCAACGTATGTATGTCTGTATGTTTGTATCTGTATGTCTGCCTGTCTGCCTCTGTCTGTCTGTCTGTCTGTCTGTCTGTCTGTGTGCAAACTCACCCAAACATCATCCTGTTGGCTACATATCTCACTAATATGCAAATGACATCCCATTCATATCCCATATGTATGTACATAGGGTGTACAAGGAATAACATGTTATTCTTATATGATATCCCAATACTATGCCATACTATTGGAATCCCAATATATATCCCAATGGTATTCCTTGGAATATCCCACTATGTATATATATATATATATATATCGATCCCTATATAGTGATTAATAGGATTTCCACTATAAACCATCCATTTTGGGGATTCCCCATGTATGGAAACCTCCATATATAGTCATATCCCATATTCATCCCGCTTTTTTCTACTCAGCTGCAGGTCCTCAACGCCTTCCGCGACGTGGCGGGTGAGCAGGTGCAAGATCGTAGCGACGCAGGTACCTGGTTACTACCTATGAACCTTTCATTAAAAAAATATTGATATGCAACTGATATGTATATATATATATATATGTATCAGTTCAATATACATATGATAATATATATATATATATATGTATCTGCACCTTTGCAAGGCATATTGTCTATACATAACTAGGGATGTTCCACATATTCTGGAATGCACATTCAAGTACTCATTCCCACGTCATCCATCTGGCTAAATTACATAGGACGACCTCACGACGTCACTTAAGTTAGTCCGGGGGCTTGCCATACGGTCTTTGCTGCCCAGCAAATGACATCCTTCGAGCGAATCCTGGGCGATGGAGTGACAGCCTTTTTTTCCAGGAAATTGGTACTGTAGAGACTGTAGTACTGTCTACTTTCCATCCTGGTTACTTCGAGTATTCCCGTTTTGGTTGGTGATCATAAAAAGACATGTGAACCTGGATCAGACTTAAGCGAAGTGCTCCAACAAGTGGATGGTCTAGAAGTTTGGCATCAAACAACTACCATCGGATACCATTGGTATTTTTCTCTTTACCCTCTGGTAAACATACAAAAAGCTATGGAAAGATCCACCCATTTTTAATGGGTAAACCCACTATAAATGGCCATTTCCAATAGCTATTTTGACATAACCAGAGGGTATCTCTGTGCATCTCCTGGTGTTGGGAGTCGATCCTGCAGCCGGATGGGCTCAGCGTGCCCCACATCTTCCGATCGGCTCGGTTCTTCCGGTGTGCCAAGGGATGCGCTGGCGTGGCATCTTGAAGGGTTCCTGGCTTACAGCAGAGGAGCATGTTTCCCCCTTTGAAGGTCTATGTACTGGAAATCATGTCGCCAGTTATATGTATATATATAATATAATAATATCATATCATATATATATATACTGTAGACATATTTATTATCCGTCGAACTGATCTGTTTATTGATTTGTGGCGTTTAGGGGCAACACTTGAAAGCCTGCAATTCAATGTTAACTTTCCGTGGCTATTGTGGGTAAGCCATGGTGCTTCAAAGTATAGGGTCTATGGCTGCTGCAAACTGTGATTATTGCATAGTATGGCCATATATGGTCATACTATACACACAATTTTGGTATTTGCATACCCCAAGTGCTGGGTACTGTAATACTTTTATTCTTGGGCTATCTTGGGCTTCTATTCCATGTAAAAAGACACATCGTCATGTTTTTTCTGCATAGCCCTTGTGAAGGAATCCCTAGGTGACATGACATCGCAATTCCCACGATGAAAGGCGACTTGATGGGAGCCAGCCTAATCCTCTCTGGTTGCAGGTGTCCACCAAAGTGTGATGCGCATGCGCAGACCTCATTTGGGTGTTTAGCTGTACAGCAAGATTCTAAAATGTATGTTTATGTAATTTGTTTAAGAAGGTTTCGAAGGGTTTACACCACCACATATCCCAGCAAAAGTAGAACTGTCCGCAGGACATCAACAAGCCACCGAGTTGAGGTGCGTTTCTTTTCTGCCTCCTCGTCGCGTTGCACACAGCACCACCCGTGGGCCGCATTGCGTTCCCGCACCCT